TATCAACTTTCTCGGCGTCAATCTTGGCTTCGCGGACACTTGTGACGGTTCACCATCCCTTATCCATGATCTTTTACGCTTCCGATTGTCGTATGTGATCCATTTTTCATCACCGGTTATGACACATTTCAGAAATAGCTCGATTTCATTGCGTTTCAGCAGCGCATCGCAGCTGAAACGCAAGTTAATTCGGTCTATCATGTTTTTCGCGCTCAACTCATGAGGAACCCATACATCGAGCTTCTTTTTGCAGCCAGCTTTGTGTAAATGGCTCAAAACAGTTTTGTGGTCAATGCCTAGCTCCAAACCAATATCGACACTGCTGATATGCTTATCTTGCTGGACTTTTTCAAGAATTTCATCAGCTTTTTCAGTGATTGGACGATTAGAGCGTGACTCATCCTTCACATCAAAATTACCAAAACGAAAGCGGGTGAACCATTTCCGCGCAGCAGATTTTGATAAAGTACCTTCACCATACACAGCACAAATTTTTTCACAAGCCTGAGCAGCGTTCTTCCCTTTGTCGTAATAATATTGCAAAATATATCGCAATTTTTCATTACTTTTCTCCATTTTCAAACGCAAACAACTTTCCAACCACTGCACCAATTTCGATATTTATACACTCAAAGTAACGCTCGAAGTGTCACCTTTCCAATGAATGTTTAGTGTCACTGCGATCTGTGTTTCCTGAGTTATTTGCAATTGACGCCATCTATCGGGAAAAACGTCACGAACTTTTTCCCAGACCCAATATATGAGGTTTTAAGCTCATATATTTCCTAACGAATTTATATTTTAATCATTTTTCTACAACCTTTTTTGATAAAGTCATGCCGTTTTGGAGAAAATGTTACAAAATGGACAATCTTTTCTTGTAAAGTCTGTGGTTCAGAATAAAAATTATCGTGGGAAACTTTTTGAAGAAGTAAATTAACATGTAACTCAATCAAAATGCTCCACGTAGTAGACGATCGGATTTAAATCTCATGTGAATGTACATATTCATGCGTATATGTATGTATCCCGATCTTAATGGTACCCAGGATCAATAGTGTGGACGTGACAGGAATCTAATCCAATGTGTGCGTGTGCGTGTGCGTGTGCGTGTTTAAGTTTAATAGTGCATGTTGCCTCCTCTCGTATTTAACATTTCTTCTGTTTGTTGGGGCATACTGTAAATCAAATTTCTAATTGCTTCTTGTTTTATGAGGGTCATTCAAATATATACCGAATTTTTTTACCTGCGGATTCAGAAAGAGCCGCAAGCGGGCCGAGGCGCTTCAAGCAGTCAGGTAGAGATGTATGGAGAGGAGCGATCCCCGCAACATTCCTGAGTTGCTATTCCTTCGTCAGTAGCACCATGACTGAACAAGAGGTACCTACGACTGTTGCGCAACGCATTATCATCCGATTTTTTGCTAACGAAAGCGTCAAACCAACTAAAATTTTGACCAGACTCTAAGCACAGTTTGAAGGTGATACCCTGTCAAGAAACTAAGAGTTTGATTGGGCCAAAAAATTTTGCAGTGGTCGTAATGCTATGGAAAACGAAAGTCACGAACGTCGTCCGTGATTAAGTGTCACTGATGAAAACATTTGGGCCGTTTGCTCATTGATGTTCTTCACGACAGAAGAACGGTGAATGCAGGATATTATTGCGAACTGCTGGACAACGTGAGAATTGCTTATCGCAACAAATGACGCCGGCAATCCATTCACGACGTTCTGCTTCTCCATGACAACGCGCGGCCTTATACAGCAGCCTTAACCCGCGATAAACTCAAAGAAATATACTGGACACCTCTTGAACACCCTCCTTACAGTCCCGATTTATCCCCATGTGACTTTCACATGTTTGGACCTCTAAAGGAGGCTTTAGGAGGGGAAAGATTTGTGCGTGCGTGCGTGCGTGCGTGCGTGCGTGCGTGCGTGCGTGCGTGCGTGCGTGTGTGCGTGCGTGCGTATGCGCACACGTTTTTGAACCGCAATACAAGAAAAGGTTGTCCATTTTGTAACATTTTCTCTCACCAATACGGTACAACTTTATCAAAAAGGGTTGTAGAAAAATGATTAAAATATGGACTGTTAGGAAATAAATGAACTTAATACCTCATACATTTTTGTACCGATTCCTCTGAGCAATGCAACAGTTAAAAAACAAATTTTCTCATAAATCAAAGTCTTCAACATCCGCCATTTAGTAAAACATTTTTTACAATTCACTGCTGGTTTTCGGTTATTACAAGAAATGTCCAAGCTTTAATTTGAGTTTTGTTTCATTTCAATACAATGATTTTTGGCTAAGTTATCACTATTGAAAGATGTTACACAATTGTGCTAAATTTAGTAGCCTGTTTTTTCGCGGTGGGTTACAAGGGCTTGTAACTAATATATACATAAAAAATTATATAATGTTATAATAGTTAATAATAGTTTTTGTGTTATCCTTGGAAATAATTTAAGTAATTTCGGGGTATTTCCGAGCAATTTAAGGCAATAAATTCCGGACATTCTTCAGACATTTTTTTTGCTTGATGGTCTTGAGTCTGTTTATTTTTTTTTTAATTTATCTATGAAATCTAATTTGGACGAAACTACATACTACGCAATTAGATGTCTATAATATAACAATAACCGTCTCTCTAATACAAAATAAGTAACAAAATAATTTTAAGCTTTCTCATGGAGTGCTTGTTTCATGAATAACTGCAATTGCATTATAAAGCACATTTTTGTCAGCAACTTATATGTTAACGTGATGATCCACGAATTTGGGTTCCGCGAGAGATTTATACTGGACAGTCACATGTTAATATATTATCAAAATTGAAAAGAATTTTTAAGAAAATGGATTTACGAATCAATTTTAAAATATCACACTTAAAATTTTATTGTTACATGCTTCTTTTATTTAATACATTTATTTAATACATGAAAATCGTTTAATAATATAGTAATAAAATTGATTAATAAAATCGTTTAATACATATCGTTTAATATAATATTTAATATGTAAAAATCTTCATTCTATGTATATACACAATGTATACATAATCATAAATAATTTATTAATCGATTGAAAAAAAATTGGACACTGAAAGAAAAGTGAAAAACATATTAAAAACATATAAAACTTTATTAAAAACAATATCGCGTAACGTAATATTCTATTTACAAGACATATTATACATTGTATAAACATGACATGTTGCTTTGAATATGGATATTCAAGTAGGTATATTGCAATCACATATAATTGGTAAAGTGTTGAAGTGAGTAAGGTACTTGAGAATCTAAATTGAGGTGTGTGCCTAATTTAACAATGAGGTATAGAAATTCATTCACAATCATAATTGTGAGTTCTAACAATGTATGCTCGATAGCTTCACACAAAATTTGATGTAGTTGCTATATAATATTTTTTAAGGAGCACTCGAATTATTCGCAAGTTGTTAAAATTCACATGTGCTTTATCATGTGCTCATATCACATGTGCTTATATCTATTTACATTAACACTAGTATAAACATAATTAATTTTTAATTCCGAATCACAAAATATTTAAATATGAAGGTAAAGAATAGACTACTTGATGTAAATAAATTGGAATATTCAAATCATCTTCGAGAGAATAGAATTATTTAATATACTTTTGTGATTTATCATACTTGTGTCATTTATCACAAATTTATCGCACGAATTTGTCATTTTGTCAAGTGAATGAGTCAATATCTATTTGAATCTATTAAATACAAAACAGCTATTGCATTTCACAAATAAATCAGAAGGAAAATATATATTATATATATGTCAATTTATCAGTCAAGTTGCATCAGGTTATTTGACATAATATGTAATATATCACTTAAATTCAGAAATTTTGAATTAATTTTCACCTTGATTTCATTTAGATACTATGAAAAGTAGATATAGTCCGTCTGTAATAGTTATTTTCACCTTGTGCAATTTCATAAAAAAATATGAATTTAAATTTAAATTTAAAATTTAGATGCGCGTCAGTTCTCGTTTGTTGTCTGATCATATATTTGTCTGTCGTGTCATACTTGTCTGTCTCAAAACTAGGAAAATAATTGTATTCAATATATTCCCGTCAGTATCGTTATCCGTCAAAAGTCATCGAAATCATAATTTCACTAACAAAAGTAAGCTTTAATTTAACTTAACTTATGATTCAATTCGTTCAGATATAGCAAAAGATCATCCACATATTATCGTATCTCGTCTAATCGATTGCCATATCAAGACTAAAATGATGACTTTTTCATTGGAGCAATGATGTTTATCATTAAAGTGTACTTCAGATTGATATACATTAATCAATCGGAAAGTACGACAATATATAGCGTCATCATTGCACATATTGTATAAAATATTGGCCACGTACAATTATTCTTATTTTTTCTTCTTATGATAACTAGAGAAACCACTACCGTGTCCACCACCTCCACCTCCGCCTCCACTGTAACCACTCGAATAAGAATCGTAGCCACCGCCGGAACTATAACTGCTTCCGCCGTGTCCACTGAAAGATAATGTGTATTTTACTATAGTTTTCTTAAATTATTTTCTTTAAAAATTCTATACATCCTTAAGTTGATTGTTATTTCTAACTAATCGATCCAACATTTACCTGCTACCGAAACCAGATGATATACTGTTGCCGAAACTATTGGATTCAAAGTGGTGATCTCCGCCGCCTACATCGTGTCCTCCCCCAAATCCAGCTCCAAACTCTCTATGGCCACCAAATGTACCACCATTAACATCATTACCTCCATGACCTCCTCCATGACCGCTTCCGAAACCACCTCCTCCGCCGTATCCACCGCTGTGTCCTCCTCCAAAGCCACCGCCGCCGCCGCCGCCGCCACCGCCATAGCCACCACTTCCTCCGTATCCACTGCTGTGTCCTCTTCCAAATCCACCTTCAAAACCGCTGCCGCCACCGCCGCCATGTCCTCCATGTTCAATGATTATATCGCCACCACCACCGCCGCCACCGTGTCCGCCACCAAATCCACCTCCTCCTCCATAACCACCACCTCCACCATGACCGCCGCCAAATCCTCCTCCTCCTCCATAACTACCACCTCCACCATGACCGCCGCCAAACCCTCCTCCCCCTCCATAACCACCACTTCCACCATGACCGCCGCCAAATCCTCCTCCTCCTCTATAACCACCACCTCCACCATGACTGCTGTCATGAATGATTATATCACTACCGCCACCGCTTCCGTGTCCACCACCAAAATTGCTGCTCCCACCATAACCGCCACCACTACCATGACCACTGCCAAAACCGCCGCCGTAACCACCGCTACCACCGCCACCACCACCATGATTTCCATGTTCTATGATTATATTGCCACCTCCACCGCCATCTCCGCCATAACCACTACCATGTCCACCATCGAAACTGCTATCTCCGTGGCCACCTCCACCTCCTCCGTCACCATGGTCTATGATGATATCTCCGTGTCCACCTATCGAAATTTATGCTCTTAGAAAGTTATATACCTTATTCCATAGTCACTACTCATACATATTTAGAGAAGTGCGCTTACAATTAATTACTTTTATGAAAAAGTGCCATATGAGACAATGAGAGGAACGAAAGTAACAAGTCATTCATGATGTTCTCACGAATGTACATTCATTAAATATGCTGACAAAGACAGTTTTGATCCGCTCTTTCTCTCTCTTGCATGTACCGTGTCTTCAATCGACAAAGTGGCACGATATAAAGTACCTCCAGTAGCTGTATTGCTCTTGTAACTTTCACGGTACTTGAAAGTGAGAGGAAACGTGACCGATTGAAAATATTTCGCTACAATATACTTAGGAAATTAGTCGTACATTTTGCTCGCGTCATCGCATCGTAAAATCAAATGATAGGTAACACTTTTGAATATACGAGTGTTTTTTGCATTTCATATATTACAATACTGATATGATATTAATATTATTTATGGGTGAATTATGATATAAATAATATATGACATTTCGGATTTTTATTTCATTTATATTAATACACATTCTTTTTCTGCGCCACTATTGTTTACTTCGAAATAAAAAAGTATACCATAAGAAATTTATTAAAAAATAATGAGAAAAATTAGAATATATAATATAACTTGACAATTCGCTCTCACCTCCACCAAAGTCACCATGACCACCGCCGCCACTATCGAAGCCGTGACCTCCCCCATGACCTCCGAAACCACCACTAAAACCACCACCGTGATCACCTCCGTAACCATCACCGTGTCCACCCCCCAAACCACCTCCGATATTTCCGGGACTAGTAATTTCTATGTGATGGTTATCACCGCTTCCTCCACCGCCGTGACTACTACCCCCGCCGTGATCCTCATACTTTATGACTTTCTTGTCGTGATGTTGTATAATTTCCGGCACATGTATCCTTATATGCACACTAAAACATCAAAAATATGCTTAAACCGGGAAAAAGTTTGCACATTTCCGTAAACAATTAATACACCTTCTAAATAATTGCCGACATAAAAGAACTTTATGGCGTTTCTTATTACATTCTTTTGAAATTATCATGAGCTTTTAATGTTGATTGCATACTAGTGTTAAAACGTTAAGTATACCTTACATTTTTACACAAATTTTATAAGTAAGCCACTTATAAGTAATGATGAATAGCGTTAAGTAATTATTACATTATTACAACAAGTTTACTTTTGTCTAATGAAATTACAAGCAATTAGCGCGATTACAATCAGAATTATGATTATAACTCACTGTTCGTGTCCAAAGGTAGCAAAACCAACTGATAATATACTTGCAAAGATGAAGGCCTTTATCTATAATGATATTAAAAATAATATTTAAAAATTTGTTAATTTGTATACTTTTTATACATATATAAATCCATCTCAAATCCGAAACGAAGAAAAATTCTTGTTTCGTCAATTTCTATATTTTGTTATTCCAAAGCACTTAAAATGCCCATTTAAACGCCAACAACAAAGTTGTTGTTATATATATTGATATATTGAAATTTTGATTGATATATAATATCAATCAAAATTTAATCACGAAACCGTCGTTTAACCGCAAATTTATATAAAAAACAGGTTATTACAATTGATAATACTTTCAAGTGTTCGGTTGCACATAAAGTCTTTACCATTGTATCAATTTCTTTCATCAGTGAATGGCATCAAGCGATTGTTCGCTTTAATTTCTTACATATTTAGACTTCATGTTGGTACCCAAGACAATCCCAAGACGATCGGATCAGCTAATCCTTTTCCTGTCTCTTATTCCGCGCACAGCTCACCACGACGATCCGGTACACACTGTAATATATTTGCGACCGCGGTCTTACCTATATATATACCGGATCGGAGGAAGTACCGGAAGAATCGAGTGGGGATGAAACGAAGATCTCGCTGTACTACCGGAGAGGTACTGTCAGAAGAGTATTCCATGGAGGAAGCCAAATGTGTGATGCACGAAATTAGTGGGCTTACCCCGCAGTGTAATTTAAATACATGTACTCTTCAGGCGAAATCCAACATACGTCTTGTAAGGCGTATTTAACGCATCTCTGCGGATGGGAACGGTTGTGACCTGCGGTTTAGAGAAATTCACGTTTAGGCTTTTTCAAACTGTTGACGTTGCTGTTGTACCGACATTGACTAAGACATGTGTGATCGATCGCCGCTAGCCATGATTGTGATAAACGAGAGCATATGAAATCTCATCAGAGTCTGTAATCAACTTTCACGGAACCTAATTTCAGAATGAAAAATAATTTTTCTTCAGAAAATGAAAAGCTACAGAGAAAAAACAAGAGTGAGAAAAAAAGGAGAAGAAAAAGAAAAAGAGAAAGAGAGAGAGGTTACTTCACATATTTTAAATTAAGAAGAAAAAAAAAGTGGAACACACACACACACACACACATGTTATATTAGTTTCGGTGCGTTTTTTTATTGAATTAAAAATTAAAATTTTAACGGAAGACTACATGTATGTGTGTGTGTGTATGCGCGCGCGCGCGCGTGTGTGTACATATTAGAGTTCGTTGGCAATATCCACTGTATTTTCTTTTTTGAATTATTTCATATAAATAAATTTTATCATTACAGCGGTAATGTACGTTATATTGTCAGATTAATTTTATTTATAGCTTTATAAGCTTTACTTGATACGTACACAAACATAACAAATGAAAGTATAAATATTAAATCAACATTAGGTCAAAATTAGGTCATTAGGTATTGCAATTAAACTACTTTTCCCGATTTCCAAAATAAAATAAACTAAATAATATGATTGATGAGCATATATAACTTTGGAAAAGTTTTTTTTAATGAAATATTTTAAGTACGAAAGAAATATATCTGTATTTTTTTCGCACGTTGCAACCTAAAAATGCTCCTTCCAATCTGATTTTCGTAAATTTATTACAAATGCATATGATAATAAAAAAATAAAATTTTGTTTTCGATTTTGCACATTTATTTGATATTAATATTTGTCGAATAATTCGTATATTATTCATCACGCCGAATGACTTATTAAGAGAAAGAAATATATTTTTTCATCAAAATCTTATGCGTGTTGGGAATGTATGAATAATAGATATCACCAATCTAAAATTGCGAAGCTACTTTAAAATGTGATAAAGTAATTTATATAATTTATATAACGGTCGCTACATTAATATGTGTGATGCATATAAGAAATTATTTGTATCTCTATCGGTTGATCAAATTATAAATTGTAAATTGTACAGGTAAATTGAATAGGTTCGATTAGGGACTGTTGACAGATAAATACCGCAAACTGATTCAGATGTGCTATATCGGTCTATTAATCTAATAGGTTAAACTTGACACAAAAAAGCATAATAATACAATCTAAATTAAAGCATCTCAACGCAATATAAATTCTGATATGATGTAATAGAAATTTGCAATTTCATGCATAAAGATATATTTGTATTTCGTTATAAACTCTAAACTCTTTTTTGCGATTCTGTTATGTTAGCACTAACTTTACATTGTATGCCAGTATCTAAAATTATTCATAAACTATCTTAAATTTTGTATTCACGACTACTTGAAAAAAAGAGCTTGTCCTCTTTTTCACATGTGATGTTAATTTCGCATCCTTATTGAAAAATACGTTATATGAAGAGTCAACTTCAAACTGAAGTAAAAATAATTTATTTAATATATACATATATCCCTAATTAGAAAAACTATGACAATACGCATTATCTTCGATGAAAAATGTTGCAGGTAGAAACAAGGAAAACATTATATATATTCTCTTTATAGTGTGCTCAATGTATATTTATAAATGGCTAGGTATTTAAGATCTTAGTATAAATATATTAAATATTTTTATGTAATTGGATTTATAAAATAGTTTTTTTATGTCGTTTGAAAAATACCATCGAAGTAACATAGCGAAACGCAATAGATAATTCTTGTCCATATAAAATATGCGCTTCTAACTTTGAAAAATTGGTTACATTACTCTCACTTCACATATGAAAATTCTCATAGCAAACTTTATATAGCTTTCTTTGCTGTATTACAAGTTTAAATTTCTATTCTTGATAGAGTGGCACGTTTTTACGATGCGATAATCGAATCTGATTATTTTTTTGTTCTGTTATAAATTATAAAACGGATATTTGCTCCAACTTTATAGTATAATAGTGTTCCTTTATTGCTCATTATACTATAATAATCATTATTATTATAAATGGTTGTTTCACGTTTTCTGTTGCTACTTGTTTGCTATCAATGTAATACTGCCTCAAAATTTGTGGACATTTCTTGTACAAAAAGTTGTTTTATGTTTACGTACGGTTGTGTTGGTTACACGATGTTCTATAAAAATTAAGTTATCTATATGGTTACACGATGTTCTATAAAAATTAAGTTTTCATTAGCATTGACCTATATGTAAAATATTTGTTTAAAAAATGTCAGAACATAAATTAAATTTATGCATTAATCTGAAATTAATAACAGCTTATAAAAACAATAGAAGCAAATGAGAAAATATCAAATTTGCTGAAATACTAGGTCTAATCGTTGAGAAATCTTTTTCAATGCTTTGTATGTAACGTGAAAGCTTAGAGTAATGATTTGTCTCGCGCTTTTCAGCCGACATTAATTATCGTCTAAGATTCCTTATATAAGGTGTCGCAAATTTATCGAACTGCCTTGTGTTTCTGAAGATTATTTTATTAATACAAAGCAAAATTTCCTTCAGCAAAATCATTAGAACTCTAATAACTTTTAAATCTAAGCGAAGCTTAATCTAAAGCAATTGAAAACAAAAAATACTCCAGAAGAAACTTTCAATTTTTAACAGAAATACAATAGAAATAAAAACAATATAAAATTATTCAATGAATCTTATACGAATTTTATTTGAATGGATTTCTATTAAAGAAAACTCGATTCTATATTGTCCGTAAAAGTGCAGAAGTAACATTTACGACATCTTGTATATCGTGGAATTCCTCACTCTCGTGTATCTACCTGTACACGTTAATGTATCTCGTACACCTCACATATAGACATAGCTGAGTAACAAAATAGAAAGTAGTAAAAGCAAGCGGTGAGATAGGGCGCAGGGAAAGGGAGAGTGAGTGAAAATAAAAGGATGAGAGCGAGGCCGTATGGGAGAGCGAAAAGGGAAATGAAACACATACACATATACATATGTACACGCGCACATATATAGAAGTTGCTGAGAAACATACACCGTCATAACGAATAATCGTGAGAGGTTCTCCCAGTTGCCGTGTGCCGCTCCTTATCCTTTCACTCTTTTCCCTTATCGTGTTCCGCGCGGTAAATTCCGCGGCAGAATGACCACCGGACGAGCACGCAACTGGCTTCTTTTTGCCGCAGATTATTGGCCTTGATTCCGTACTCTGGCTGGCATTGACACGGTATCCGTTATATCACTTACCAATTAGCCAACGCGATGTATGAAAAGTATATTTTCGTGGTTTGATTTTTCTTCAGCACATTCTGAAGCACATTCAATTCGCCAGCTCTCAAATGCTGATATATTGCTCATTTTATATCAGGGTTTGTTAATTATATATTATAATAGATTGTAACAATGATCTATGTGAAATTATACCGAGATAATATAAAATATAAAATTATACTCGTAACAAATTATATCTCTCTCAAAGATATTACCGTCAACTATGTAATATCTGTCACGATATACTTATTTAATAATGATCATTTAATAATGATGGATATCTGTCACGATATACTCATTTAATAATGATGATTTAATAATGAAAATTAAAAATGATCTAATATTATATGGACAATAAAGCGACAAAATAAGCACATTTTTTTATTTTAATGTCTCATAAAACTGCTTATATAAATAGGTATGTACAAATTTGGTAATAACTTGACTTATTGATATGTACAAGTTATACATAGAAATCGGTTTTAGTTACGGTTATCGATTTTAGTTATGCATAGAATTCGATTTTAGTTACGGTAATTAGTTGGCTAGTTTTGACCAAAAATTGGAGTTTCGGATTTTATTAAAATTAAAAGAAAAGCTCGCTGAAAAGAAATTTCGGCGATATAAGCAAAACTAAGATTGGAGAAGTTACTTTACAGAAATAACCCGTTATCGTTATCATTACTTTTTCTAAAATATAATTCATTACGATTATTAACAAATTATCAATATTAACAAATCATTATTTTTTCCGTTATTTTTGTAAATATTGAAATAAAACTAATGTTGTTTATAAAAGAAAAGGAGCGGGAGAGAGAGAGAAGAGGGGGAAGAAGTTTAACACATCGATCAATAAGTCCCGGGACTAACCAACAAATGGCGCCTCTAATAACAAATCCATACCATTCTCAGTTAGTACCAACCTTTAGAAGTTAAATTGTCAAATTTTCATGACATTCCGACATTGTATCATTGAGTTACAATGGTTTTAGTGACGCTACACCGTGTCACAAGTCGATGGTAACGATGGCCAAATTGCATGAGTTGAACTTCGAATTGCTTCCGTACTCACCGTATTCTCCAGATTTGGCCCCCAGCGATTATTGGCTGTTCGCAGACCTCAAAAAAAAGATGCTCCAGGAAAAGAGATTTGGCTCCAATGAAGAAGTGATTGCCGAAACTAATGCCTATTTTGAAATCAAAGACCGTTCTACACGGCTGGCATAGAAAAGTTAGGAAAGCGTTGGAATGAATGTATCGCTCTTGAAGGAGACTATGTTGATGACTAAAGAAGAATTTTGGCAAACAAATGTTGTTTTAGTAGTTAGTCCC